GTGTGTGTGTGTGTGTGTGTGTGTGTGTGTGTGTGTGTGTGTGTGTGTGTGTGTGTGTGTGTGTGTGTGTGTGTGTGTGTGTGTGTGTGTGTGTGTGTGTGTGTGTGTGTGTGTGTGTGATTTTATTTTATAACTAAAAAGTATTATTTATAATCTACTTTGTTAATATATTTTAAGTTAGTTTGTACTTTTCAATGTTTATCTATTTTATTTTAAATTTGGACTTGTAAAAATAGTAAATATTTTATTTTTTTTTAAAATCCGAAGTTATAATTATATTGTTATAGTTTTTCAAATTTGAAGTTAACAATTTACTTTGTAAATATTTTTTGTATTCAGTTTGCATCTAGCCTTTAATCTTATTAGTTTAGCATAATGAACGTTAATATTTTTTTAAAAATATTTTGTACTCAATGTGAATTTGTCAGTCTTTTCGAAAAATTTCTATTCGCTTAACGTATTTTAAGTTTATTTTATCACACACGTAAGTGAAGAAATATTTACCGTTTTTTCGAATACGGTATAGTTTTTTAAAAAATTGAATTAAAAAAACAAAAAAACCCGAAAGAGCCGACTAAAACCGAAATCGAAAAAAACCGACTTTATATGATTTGATTTGGTTTTTAAATTGGATAAACGACATAATTGGTTTAGATTTTTTAAAAGAAAAAATCAAACCGAACCGACCTATGTACACCCCTAGTAATAACTATTTTGAAGCAAATCACATAAGTAACATTGATAAATAAAGTCATTCTTTTGTCTAGAGCATAAAAAACAAATGCCGACAATTCTCTAAATTTGAAAAAGATATTCAGAAGTATACATTTACATCACAAGAGAAATTGTTAAAAAAAAATAAACGAATTTAGACTACATTGTGTTAACTTCATATATTGAAAAATACATACTAATGCATATATTAAGCAAAAAAATAATTATTATATCATCAAAACTATTTTCCTCAAGTACTCTAGGTTATGTAATATACCCTCTTAGGATAGAACTACTTAATTCATCAGAATAGTGGTACCTCATATTATGCTAAAATTCAAACTCACTCAACGACAATAAATCACACAAAAAGATTTAAAATGCAAGAAAAAGAGTAGAAGATTAAAAAAAAATTTGTGGTTGAAAAATGAGAGGAAACCCCTCTGTTTATAGTCAACAAAGGGTATTATGAACAAATATTTTTTTGTGTCTTATATAAAAAGTCATGACCTTTTCGAGAAGTCACAACCCTTTGGAAGATGCACAACTTAATGAAATTAAAGTCACAACCTGAGTTAGCGATATTATTATAATTTAAAATTCAAGTTAGGACTTCATGCTTTTAAAATAATATTTCTTGATTGATAAAACGAAATCAAAAGATCAGAATTCCACCCAAAAATTAAGTAAGCCACCAAGAGAAGGAAGAAGAGCCAGTTAAGCTGAGAATCA